GCATTCAGTATAGGGTGTAGAAAAGGCCAGGCAGCAAGGAAAACAATGCAGGGACGGGGGTTCATTAATCAATGGGTGACCTGCTTGCAGGACCGGCAGATGTCAAAGAGTGACCTTAATGGGAGAAGGCAGTGGGCTCCTGGGCTCCAGCCACAGGTGTGCCCTAGACCAATTACCTGGGGAGCATGTGGTGGGGCAGCCAAGGGCCAGCTGAGCATCAGAGCCGGGCCACTTTGGCACCTGAGAGCCAAACCCTAGAGGGTTTAAGTGCAGTCAGATTTTAATATGATTAGTCTCACAATTTTCATTCTGGCCGTTCTCTGAAAAAACCTCCCCACCCCCACCCTTGAGGACTCCAACAACAGCACATGCAGGGTCAGGGGACACCAGGGAAAGGGCACGTTGAGAGGGTTAGGAGGGCATGTGAAATGTACTTAAGAGAATTGCATTACAAACATGTATGTAGCATGTCTGATGTCAAGCCTTTCAAGACTCTAAGAGGAGGCTGAGGAGCTGAGGAGACTGAGGCGTGAAGGGAGGTTAGTTAGTTAGCTGCTCCTAGGAAGCTCTGGAAGGGCTCAGCCGAGACACAAACTCAGGTCGGAGTGACTCTACCTCACTCCCCACAAGAGCTCTGCAGTGGTTCGTGGTTCTGTCTATCAAGAGGTGGATGTTGGAGTGGGGCTGAGGCTATCAAGATGCTCCCTAATTCTGCCCTTGCAGTCGGCACTGTGGCTGTGAGGCACACTACCCTGCGAGGTGAGATGGAGCCACCTGGTTGGTGCACTGTGCGCTCCATCAGCACCAATCCTTGCAGGGCTGCGTCTTAGGCGCAGTGCCCCATGGGGCTGCTGCGTGTTCCTTCACTAGATTACTGGGAGTGGCGGATGAAATCTGCTACATCCCGTGCTGCCTCATTCCCTGGGTGACTTTGGAGATGGCATGCTTTACACATCAGTCTTCTAGTATATTCAGTGGGGACAGTAGTCTCTATGCTATACTAGCATGACTGGCGCCACAAGGGGAATGCATATGCAAGAGCTCAAAGCTCTGGCTCACTTCCCAGAAGCCTTAGGGGCTTGGATTTCTCTTTCCCTCTCCGACAGTGAGGGAAGGCTGAAGGCTAAGTTTCTGGAGGGGGGGGGGGTGTTTGAAGTCCAAGAGGCAGTACCCCAGGAGGCTCCTAAGGGAGCCAGCCCTGGCCTCTGCTGTGAGGCTCTGCTCCTTTCCAGTCTTGCCCTGGTGGTCCCTCAGTAGAAACATCCCTGGGTCTAGTTTAGGGAGCTCAAGGATACTCTTCACAAATCATCCCATAGTCGCTCCTCAGGCAGGGAGGATACAACCTTCTTTTCAGATTGGCTCCAGCAGGGGCTTTTCTTCCGGCGCGAGTGTGGCGCTGGTGGCGAGGCTGGCACCGGAAGAAGCCCGGCAAAGGTGGAGCGCCTCCCCGCGCAGCCACTCGGAAGGGCGAGGTATTGCGTACTCCAATTGGGGACCCTAGCGGCGGTGAGCTCGTCACCACACACCCACAGCCTTCCTGCGGTGGGAGGCTAATTGCAGCACCGGTCACGCGGCCCTCCAGCACTCGCGTGGCCCACCGCTGCCTCCTGCCTGCGCCCAGAGTCTTCACAGTATGCAAGACACAGAAGGCAAGGACCAGTGACCCCCTCAGGAGCTCGGCAATCACCTGACTCTGCCAGTGCACAGCATGATACGGCCCGGCCCCTGTGCCTCACTTTCCGGGGGCCTTTACAACAAATGAACAACTCATGGGGTGGCTTTTAGTCAAGCCTGACGGAATGTGCCAGCAGCATACACTCTGAGCCCCCTTCCCATTTCAGACTACAGGATTTGTCTACAGAGTCAAACCAATGGGTCGGACTGAGGACCAAGTCTCTGCTTCAACAGTGGCAAATTCATACTCCTAGAGTCTGGCTTCTGCTGTGCTGGCTACAAGTGCTGCTTGCCATACCTGCTTCCTTGTTGGGTTCCCTCAAACCGCCCAACCCCCAAATTATTCACCAACCCCGGGTTCTGATCACAGGCAGGGAAATGCTTTTGTAACAGTTCAGGCGTGGGACTGCTAACCCAGCTGGGGGCAGCACCATTATTAGTGTTCTGCCCTGATAAACATCAGCGTCATTTGCCTACCAGATCCAGGCCTCTTATCTAAGAATGGATTTCAGCAGCTCAAATCTGTTGGATGAAGAGTGTGTGTGTGTGTGTGTGTGTGTGTGTGTGTGTGTAAAGGGCAGTTGTGAACTAGTCCCTCAGTGGGAGCTTGTGGGTGGAATCATGTATAAGGATTTAAACAAACATCACTATGGAAACAACAGGTTTTTTCAAAGGAACTGTTAAAAAATAAAGTAATCAAGACTTCAGATTCAACACTCCAGTGTTTATGACCAGAAAAGGCAAAGTGGGTCTTAGATACTCTGCAGCCAAGAAAAAGCTGCCAGAACTCAAGGAAGAAATATTCCCAGCAGAGCAGGAACCCATCATCTGTCAGGCTTCCCCCTGAAGCCTCAGAGGGGAGCACTCCCTGCAGGCCTACTTAACTCTTTCAGGGTTGCTATGACATGGCTCAGCAGCCTGGGCTCTTTACTGATGGGACACAGACGGACCTTCCATGCATCAGAGCAGAGTCAAGGCAATGGAGGTAGCAGAACGGAGTCTAAAGGGCTTTTATGGATCAACTGTGACCCAAATCTGCTGAGGCTCTCAGCTGAGCTAGTGAACCTGGACCGAAGTGAAGGCCCTCTGCACTGAGTGTCACACTGTTCCCCTTCTGGGGTGAAGCCCAGTGGACCCGCCGCCTGACGACTGCAGAAGCGATGCTCTTACGATGCCTCACACTTAGTTTGGACATCATGGGGGTTCCCGCATGTACTCAGAGATGACAGGAGAAACAGCAGGGAAAAACTCACCCATCTGTGGAACTTCTGAGGCATATCTGCTTGGATATGGTTAGGAACCATTTGCTAGGGATGTTGCCCAAGGCTGTTTCTAAATTCACCGCACCCAGCCCCCGCCAAAATGAGTTTCCCCAGCTTAATGACACTGAGTTCAGTGGGCCACAGCTTCCAACAAGATGATCATGTGGGCTAAGAAGACATCTGCCCTGATGCACAAGAAGCCGGAGACCACAGGCGGCCTGCAGCTGGCCATGGCCAGCTCTGTGGGTCGAGGGCTCAGAGATTTCACTTCAGGTCAGCACGGGTGAGAAAGGGGACATGGGCTTTGGAATCAGCCTTTAAACTTGTTTCTATCAGCACAAGTCCTACTAAAACACTTCTCAGGGACTCCGCTTCTTGTTCCCACAGCAGAATCGGTATGGGGAAGATGAGGTGATGAGTAGAAACTCAGGACAGGACAGGGCCTGCAGGCTACTGAAGCTCAGAGGGCAACAAAGACAGAGCCTGCCCCACATGCTCAGCTGCATACTGGCTCTGTTCGTGTGCAGGATCTGCAAGAGGCTGCTGCGGCTCTGAACATCACCATTCCTAGCTACACCCAAACTCTCTAGTTCTGCTTGGCACTGCAGACGGCACAGGGTCCTACTGGTGAGAAATAGCTGGCACTGGGAGCACATGAGGTCTACAGGAAGGGCAAGCAGCTGTGACTTCTGCTCTTGGCCTGTGAAGCCCAGGTGGAGGCCCAGGCTGAGTGGTCTGACAGCGCTGTGTTGAGTGCAGTCATGTAACCCTGAAGCTGGAAGACATAAGGCCCTGCAATGAGAGGGGATGCTGGAAGACCCGGAGCCACCAGCCAGTCTTTTTATTTATAAGGAAGAGAGGAGGGATTTCCAGCTTCAGTTATCAAATTCCTAATCCTAGCTGACCACACTAGGTTTTCTTGGCTTTAACTGGAGAACAGCTGGGAATTAGGGGGCTTGTGCTCATGGTGAGTCATCCCTTCTTCCTAGGAAGGCTTAGTATGATGCAGAAACTCTAACACAGCCTTTACAAGTTCTTATAGAAGGAACTATAGATATTAAAAAACCAGACTTTGATACAAGGAAGCAGGGAGCTGTGGGAACACAGCGTCTCGTCAGGCTGGTTTCATCTGAGCCCTGAGTCTGCCCAGCCTCTGGCACCCGTCCATGTTACGGGATCATCCATGGAATGGAAACAGGATAAAAACCCAGAGTAAATTTCCCTCCCAGGATGGGAGAGAAATTCTATCTAGCCCGTGTCCTACTTTCATCCACGGACACGCACTCCTCCTCTGGGTTGAGTTAATAGGGTACATTGCTTCCGAGCCAAGGCCAAGGAGTCATGTGTTTTCATGATGCAACAAGAGGCAGTTACCCCTTTGTTTTGGAAACCTTGTGACATCACAGGCTAACCCCTGAACTTGGGCACCCAGTAAAAGGGAACACTGAGTCAGAAGAGCCTTAGTCACAGGGCTTCGGAAAGCTATGGTAGAAAGACCATGAGGTCACCCAGGCTATTCCCTGCAGGGCTGATCTGATTCTATCTGGTTTGGGTTTAAATGGCTCAAGGAATTCTCCAGGGAAAGCAAATCTATTGGAACAGCTGTTACCAACTGAACAGTTGCTGTTCTTCAACCAAAATGACATCCAGTTATTCATCACTTCCAGGAAACAGCGTTGTCTTTCCAAGTAGGACTGCCTGGAGTGTAGACAGGAGCATGCTGCCTTTCTTCAGAGGCCTGTAGCCTGAGTGTACCCGGGAAGACTGACAGCTGGGAGACCCAGCTGAATAAACAGGGTTCCTGACCATGCAGGTTTCCATTACAATAACACAGGAGTCAAGGAAGACTTCAACACAGCCCCGAGAAGCCACCTCTGTTTGGGTTTCAGCAGCTGTCTGCCTGTGGAAGGCTCCAGAGTCGCTGACATGTATTTACAGTCTCCATTTGCTAACGTCATAAGGAACAAATATGTTCAGAGTTTTCCCAGAGGCACAAGGCCATTTGTATTTCTTCAAATTAAAGGGGGAAGGGCAGCAGGAAAGGGAATGATGGACCAAATCATCTGTGAGCACAGTTATAGCAGTGTTTAATTTGCCTAATGGTAGCCCTTGATTTAGAGGTTTGTCTCAGAGTAACCGTTTCCTTCGTAGACATGCTGGCAACATGGCTCCCATCCAAAGGAGGAGGACCTGGGAAGCGAACTCCACAATTTCCAAACAGCCACATCACCAGAGTGCATGGAGAAGCTTCTCAAAGTGCTTCCAGGAATGGGGGAGGGGCTGCTAGGTGCACAGCCCCCATCTCAGTGGCAACTTTGCGGACATGTCCCATCACCAGGTGTTCCTCTGGGGTTTGGATAAATGGTCCGGAAGGTTAGGTTTACTCGCGGTTCTCTGGAGTGGTATTCTTTGGGCACGCGGTGCTAAATGGAAATATTAATAGTTGTCCGGAATAAATACACGTGCATTTTTTTTAGTTCAACATGATTTACAACTTATTTATGAAGATATGGAAATAGCTCCATTTTATCCCTGTCTAAACGAGCAGGTGTTCTACAGTCCCGTGGGAAAAGGTCTCCTCCTCTGAAACAAAATTCCTTGATCCCTGGCAGCAAGGCATCTCCACCCTTTCTAATTGTGGCTTCTATCTAATGTGACTTCACCCACACTGACCTACAATAGTTGTTGTGTTGTGAGTCCCAAGATGGCAGCCACTAAGATTTTTACAAGTAAATTCGTGCTAGTCATATTTGAAGTGGTCAGCACGCAGTGGCCAGAGGCTGCAATGGCAGCACAGACATGGACCCCTCTATCACTACAAAAACCAACCAGAAACCTCTGCTGAGGGGTCTGCTCTGACCGACCCCTTGGGTATGACATCACGTTATTGCTACTTGCTCAGTGTAAGCACTCGCTTCCCTCCCTACGTGTACTCTGAAACAGCTGCTCCTCAGTAGGGCAGAAGCTCCCTCCAGAGAGAAACTGGTGGTAGTTTCAAGTCCTCACCTGCCAGTCAGCTTGTGTGGCTCCTTCCATGATTAGCAAGGTCCCGTGATCCAGTGGTATCTTCACTCTTTCCACGTATGTATAGTCTCCATTCTCTTCCTAGAAGACAGCAGCCATTCCACTCAAGTGTTTGTTCATATGGTCAAAAGCAAGAGAACCTGGAGGCAGTTCCTCCTCAGCCAGGCTGTGGGAGCTTGCTCTGTCCCTTGGCAGCCCCTTGGCCTTAAGGCAGCTAGCTATTTTACCTCTCTACTCCTTAAGGAACTTATTTGTGACATGGGAAAGAAGATAAAAGTAGTAGCATTTGCTACACAGGGCCAGTCTGTGTCTTAGATGATGTGTGTGAAGGACTTGGGGACCCGCAGCAGGAAGAACTGGGTAATATCGTGGAAGTCACTGCTCCCCAGGATGTTCAGTCCATCCTGACCTAGGAGGGAGGTTCAGATTCACCTACCTCTGCTACACAGTGCTACATTACATACTGGGAAGAGACTGCCTTTGATCAAAGCATGCTTCACCTGGCAATAATATGCTAATTTACTAATTCGTAATTATTTTAAAACAATGTTTCTCAACTCGTAATGCTGTGACCCTTTTTTTTGTTTTTTTTTGTTTTTTGGTTTTTCGAGACAGGGTTTCTCTGTGGTTTTGGAGCCTGTCCTGGAACTAGCTCTTGTAGACCAGGTTGGTCTCGAACTCACAGAGATCCACCTGACTCTGCCTCCCAAGTGCTGGGATTAAAGGCGTGCGCCACCACCGCCCGGCTTGCTGTGACCCTTTAATACAGTCCCTCATGTTGTGGTGACCCCCAACCATAAAATCATTTTTTAAAATATTTATTTATTTATTTATTTTATTATGTATACAACATTCTGTCTGCGTGTATGCCTGAAGGCCAAAAGAGGGCACCAGACCTCATTACAGATGGTTGTAAGCCACCATGTGGTTGCTGGGAATTGAACTCAGGGCCTCTGGAAGAGCAGGCAATGCTCTTAACCGCTAAGCCATCTCTCCAGCCCTCCATAAAATCATTTTTGTTGCTGTTTATTAACTGTAATTTTGCTACTGTTATGATTTCTGATGGTCTTAGGTGACCCCTATGAAAGGACCGTTTGACCCAACCCCATAGGGTCGCGAGCCACAGGTGGAGAGCCACTGCTTTAGAACTAACCCCAGCTCTCCCCTTAGCTACTCTAGGTGTTTGGGAGATGTATTCTCAATAGCAGGAATTTCTCAAAGAAAGGCGATCTGGCTTGACTTGGTCAGTGCTGTCAAAGCAGCCTGGCTGTTTGATGTCTATGCTTTTGAGAACGGATCACAAATCCTGAGCACAGTGGAGAGTTCAGCTCAGTGCCTTACACTTATAGCACACCTGCGAAAGAAGTCAACAGGTGGTTTGCTCCTCTTTAAAGCGCTGGTGCAGCGAACAGCTTTCTGGCTTCCTGGCTCAGTCACCAAGAGTGAGAGTCAGCCTGGGTGAGAATGGGACAGATCTGCGCTTCCTGCTTTCTTCACTTCCTGTGGGCAGAGACAATGGGCCCATCCGGCCATCTGCCTCCCTTCCATGCAGCGGTTCTGTTTGGGTTACTGCAGGGTTTACTGTAGTGCGAGTCTGTTTATGTTTATTACTGCAGGGGTCTTTCTGAGAACTTAACTGTTTACAATGATTTCCCCAGGAAAATCTAAAATCAAAACAATACTGAACTTGTACAAACAGTCTACGTTCCAGGGCCCAACCCTTGGCAGTGACTTTGTCAAGGACAGCCAGAATTTTTACAGACAGAAGACATAAGCAATGTTTGAAACAACTTTCGATTGGTTGGCTGGTTTTGTGTGTCTGCCACCTTTTCTCTTCCAGGAATAAGTAAGCAGCAAACAATGACCTCTTGCTGCTCAGTCAAGCAGAGCGCACACTGGGAGTGGCCCTGCCCTTGGAGGCCCATGCTCACCTCCACATTCACCTACACTTCAGAAGGTAAAAGTTGGTGCTTGGAAAAAGTATGCCAGACACAGGACATAAATGCCTTGCTAGAGAAAAGAAAGCAAAAGAGAGGGTCCATTCTTCATGACATCAGAGGGTATCAAGGCTTAACATAGACTGAAAGGCAGGTCTGCTCAAGTTAAAACTTGGCTGGAGGCAGAAGGCTCTCTCCTGCTCTCTATAGTATCAGCGTGTGTGTGTGTGTGTGTGTGTAGGGGGTGGGGAAGAGTCAACATGGCATGAATCTGTAACTGTCTAGACACCATGATGAGAGCGAAATGACACTCAGAGAAGACTTCACACCACTTAGGGCAATTCTGAGACCTTCTAGAACATCCACAACACTGCGGGGAGGTAGAGGTGCTGAGAGCAATGTGGGGGTTGGGAGTGCACACTATAATTCCATCTGGAACCATGAAGTTGACTGCATCTGAGGCCAAAGAGAATTCTGCATGCAAGAGGCCAGCACCAGTACTGACAGGAATGAGCTTAGCACATGCGCTCTCCACTTGATACTCTATGATCTAAATTCTTCAAGGAGACAAAGTTTCAGGCATATTCTGAACACAATATTCAGCACAGCCACTAGCCACACCAAAAGACAGGTCCTTGAGGGTGAGCATTCACGTGGTGCTCAGCATGTGGTCAGAGAGGTAATACTGCTTCTTCCCTGCTTGTAACGTATCCCTCCTAACACCAGCGACTTAGAAAACTATTCCTAATTGCAGGAGATGGGCAGTAATTAAGGCAAGTGTGGTGGTTTGAAAGAAAATAGCTCTTCAAGGAGTGGCACTATTGGGAGGTGTGGTCTTGTTGGAGGAAGTGTGTCACTGTGAGGGTGGGTTTTGACGTGTCTTTTGCTCAAGCTTCCCTCAGTGTGGCTGTTGCCTGCAGGATGTAGGGCAACTCCAGCACCATGTCTACCTGCATGCCTCCATGCTCCCTGTCATGATGAAACTGTAAGTGAGCCACCCCAATTAAATGTTTTCTTTATAAGAGTTGTAATGGTCACAATGTTTGTTCTGGGCGATTTGGGGAGCAGGGGCCTCACTATCAGAGAAGTTGGTTCATAGCTACCAATGGCTACATCACCTCTGTGACCCTCTGCTGTACCTAAGCAGGACAACAATGTGCAGCTTAAGATGAAAATGTCTATCCCTGCTATTAGCTAAAAGAAGCTTCCAGGCTAACAGTCCACCTATGGGGAATGATTGGTGACTGTATATGTTCTGAAGTTTTCCCACTTATTGTAACCTAATAAATAGAAGGAAAAGCCACAGGTTGTTTATTTTTCTACCCTCACTGAAGAGAACCCTCACTCTCCAAGTACAGCAGTTCATCTGGATGCTTCGGGTCCTCTTTCCTAAGGAATGCTGGGGCTCTGCATTCCTGCCCTCATCCTACGAAGGTGTCATCCTATTTACTTTCCTTAGGAAGATGGTACTTAGGGGGACATCCTGGTTATGTTCATTGCTATGTCATTGTTGACCACACAGACAGAAAACCAGGTCATTTCCTTCTCTTAAAAAGGTAATGCACATGGGCTTCCCACAGGTCAGGGAACCCTGATTGCTCTTCGAGCAGATGAGGGAGGGGGACTTGATCGGGGGGAGGGGGAGGGAAATGGGAAGCGGTTGTGGGGACGAGGCAGAAATCCTTAATAAATAAATAAATTTAAAAAAAAAAAAAAAAGGTAATGCACAGTATGGAATTCGGGTTTTTCAGGTAATCACCTCTTTCTTGTCCTAAAGGGTGTTAGAAATTTCAGCCATCATTACTTCAAAACCTTCACATTTTCTTATAATAATACATCACGGCTCATGTTCTAACTTTTCAGCGTCAGTGTTGCCACTCACAGTTGGGGGAAGGGCTGTGTGCTGCTGTTGGTTAGAAACACTCGTACTAGGACACATCAGTAGATGGATGCTAAGTGACGGAGGAAGTGCCAATGACACGCAGACCAGAGTTCACATGCAGTACTCCATCTATACATCACTTCCGCTTCTAATGGATGAGCACTTGGCTGTCTTTAAACAGTAACAGTTCAAAAATGCTGCCATGTAATATTGCTTTGCACAGCATCTTCTTTTCTTGACACTCATTTGACCATCTGTGTGCCAGGCACTGGGCACAGTAGTGAAGATTAATCCATTGTGAGACTGAGATTTTAATACCCCAGTGTTGCTGATCTGCTGCTGCTGCTCTTTGTAAAGGACTAAGAAAAGGTTACTCAAGCAGACTTGAGGCGAAGCATCACTAAACATAATACCTTGGGTAGAGTATTAAAGATGGAACACCTGGGCAAAGGTATGACCTTTAAGGTGCTTGAATATGGTGCCAAACTGCTTCCTCCAAAAGCTTCTGGCAGTTGGTAATTCTGGGAGGAAAATATGGCACTACTGATCTTCTGGTGAAGACCACCCATTGCTGGTGGTGGGGAACGAGGAAAGAGACAACACAAGGAAGCAGCCAGCTCCACATTCCCCATGTGCACACCGCTGTCGCCTCCCCACTGCAATCTCTGTCCGCTATGCTGTGGGGTTAACACTTTCTAACTCATCCGTGACTGCAGACACTGGCAAACCGTTCACCTCGGCGTAAGTGTGGCAGGTACTGTCCTTGTACCCTTCTGCCTTTTAACTATTGTTTGATGTCGGATAGCTCAAGAGTTTCTGGTCATGACTCAACTGACCTTTCTTTGGCCTCTTTCATGGATTTTATGCTTAGAAAGGCTTTTTCCATCCTGAGGAAAGTTAAAATATACAACTGCATTTCCTTAGGGGAAAAAAAAAGAGCTCACATTTTTAGACTTAACTCTTTAAACTACATTTTTGTTTTGTGAGCTTTTGTTTGTTTTCCATGCTTTTGGAGTTGGGGAAAAGGGGCGAGGTTTCATGCATGGCAGGCAAGCACTCTACCCCTGAATTACCCACTAGATCCAATGTTTCTCATAACAATATCCAAGTACTGAATGGAAGGCTTCCTGCTAGGCTTGTAGACAGGTTTAACCATGCTGGTAGCATGGTGGAGGTGGGCATGTCGGGCACTAAATACATCACACACAGCCATCATTAATCCTCAATGCGAACCCACAGGGAAGTTCTATCCATTTCTCATA